TACAGCGGTTACCAAACAAACAGAAGATTCATTTGTGGGGTTTTGAATGAAGTGGAAACGGGAAACCAGAGATGTTTTGTGCGTAATGGATAAACTCAAAATCAGTGATGGCTGTCGGAATGTAGAGCTATTTAACATTTACTTTAACAAATGATACGGATAACATATAGCCTACAGCAGTTTGTATGCATCACATTATTTGAATCTTAATAGCCTAAAGCTATATACTATATATATATATATATACAACGTAAATTAAACATTTTTCAAATCAGATTTATTCATTCAAATGATCAAAAAGCCATGATCTGGCTGTCCTTACGGATATTTCTATTATCATCATTCAACATGTAGAAAGAACGTGTAATCTATTGAGTCGATTTACATAGATAATTCACAATCATGAACCAAATCTGGATCTTAAACCTGCTAATTGCCAACTAATTTAACTAAATGTGTTATATTTGTAATATTTTGTCATGTTTAGATTACGTGTTTCAAAGGCATCTGTGTATTGTGTACATAACAGAGCGCAATACGAATTAAAATTGTAATTTCCAATAGTGAAAAGCAATATTTATGTGCTTTACTAAATTTACACAAGCACTACGAGTGGTCAGGAGCAGGAGTAGATTTTGTTAGTAGCTACGAAAAGATCTGAGCTACTAAAATATTGATGAATGCGGACATGCACGTAAATTTCCGTCTGCGAACAGTTTACACACAAATTCCTTCTGCTCACGTTTCATGAATGAGACCCAGTGGGTATGGAGTAGTACAGTATATTTGTAAGCTGTGTTGAGATTCATGTTCAGTAGGAAACAATGAGCTGAGAGACACATACAGAATAGGGCGGTCGCAAAGTCTTTTCAGGGCATTAGTTGACAATACATGAAATATAGAATAACACCAGGCTAATCCTTTACTGGCACAAATTCTCACTATAGAACTGTAAGAAAAGAACAAAAATAAACAAAAAACACAAAGGGCCTGATTTACATAGTGCGGGGCAAATTCGTACTGTGCCTTTCATTCAATTTGCGCTCACAATTTGCATGTAATTAGCACCTGATCCGCCACAGTAGCAGCTCATTACACCAGCAGCATTGTGCAGGTGATGCAGTGGGAGCAGTTCAGAGGAGGATTTATCTGAGATCACCGAGCTCACAACACAAATGTTAATGTAATGCTGCAAAGTAATACTCAGTAATGAAGTGACCGAACGCTAACCACTGTCTTCACTTGGGAATTAAAATGCCAGAAACGTGTCATTCTGGACTAATTTAATACACTCAAAACTACAACTTCCTGTTCCTTCGCTTGTTTCTGACTCAGTACATAAAAATATTCTACTAAATAAATGAAAGCTGTTGATTTATTAATGTGTCTTTTACCCATCACAGTTGTAACTGTTAATAAACTAGTGCACGTGCTCTTTAGAGACAGATCGTTTCCCAACTCTCTCCTGCAAATTGCATAACCCTTGGTTAATTCAACGAATCAACATCCAACACTTTACCTGTACTTATACATCACTTTATTATATCTTCTGCCATTACTTCAAGCACGTAAGGGTTCCGAGCTCCAGGGTTTTTAAATGAAATAGTATATGAGCAGTCGTCAAATGGCTTTAAATCGTCTGTATCCACAGCAGAACACACAGGTCCACTGTACTGGTAACACAAAAAACAATGTGTCCATATACCCACTTTGTGCCAGTTGACAATGTGTTTAGATACAAATGGGAGCTCGTACAGACACAGCCTCATTTCCCAGATTAGAAACACTGACTATCAATGCTTTATTCCAGTGCTATAAAAAACTGGGCTAATGCAGAGTCTCAGTCCTGATGAATAAATTGAGTAAGCCATCTGGTTTTAGTGGCCTATTCAATGCTTGGCCGACAACACATCCAGACGTATAACAATGCCATCCATTGCTCATATAGAACGGACGAGATTAAGCCGGTTTTGGTTTGTTTCAATGCAAAGACAAGGCAGAGATCCATGTAAACCAATCAGGGTTTTAAAGGAACAGTGTGTAGATTTAGGGGGATTTTGTAGTATCTAGTGGTGAAAATTGCAGATTGCAACCAGCTGAAACGTCTCCGGAGGATTCTTTCAGTGTCCATTTTTCAGATGGTTTTCAGAAGGTGAGCTAAAATTCTCCTCCGAGGTCATTTCCTCTCCAAAGCAAACAGACCAGGAGATGTTTTCTCCCGATAGTGCTCACCACAGATGGCCTTCAAATTACAGTGGGCAATGTGAAACTGCAAAAACTGTAATAGCCCTATATAGAGGCAGTGTTTGGTTTGTCGATTCTGGGCTTCTGTAGAAATGTGTTGGTGCAACATGGCAATCTCCATAAACAAGGACTCACTCCCTGTGTAGAATTAAATGGCTGATTCAAAGGCAACAAAAACTCAAGAAAATATACTTATATTCCATTTCTGCCAATATATCACCCTAAATCCTGCACACTGGACCTTTACAGAAAGTTTCTAGCAGATTATTCAATTTATCATTAATATTGTATCCATCCATTCGACTGTTCAGTTCATTTGTCTGTAATTGTTATCTCTCTGTGGTCTTCCTGGAGTTTAAAAGCATCCCGACACCAGTGGTTCCCAGCTGATGGATCGCAGACCAAAAGTGGGTCGCCGGTCAATTCGGAATGGACTGCAAGTGTAACATTTGTAAAACAGCACACTTTATTTTCAAGTACAGTGAATTTCCGGCACAGAGCTTTTACTTTGAAGTGCCGTTTCCTGCTGTAGAACGAGTGACTGACGGACAGCTACTTGATGGAGCCAGCAATGTATATTAAACTCTGCAGACCTTGAACCGATGAGTAGGGAGAAATCTAGATCCTGTGGCCCTACACTGTCAGGTATGTTATTCTGGTTTGAGAATACTAAATCTCTTTTATTGTAATTCAAATACTTACATTGGTGGAGACAGTGCTGGACTCTCCATCAATATGAAGATCTAGAGTGTTCAAAAACTTGACATACATTTGTTCTGAATTTTGTCATAACTGACATGAATTTTGGTTTTTGGCCAAAAACCTCTTTTGTAAGATCACAGTGACCTTGACCTTTGACTTCTGATCACTAAATTCTAATCAGGTCATTCTTGAGTCCAACTGGACATTTGCGCCAAATTTAATTTTACCTCAACATCTTTATGAGAGGGACACAAGGTCTTAGTGACCTTGACCTTTTGACTTTCAACCACTAAACTCTAATCAATTCATTCTTGAGTCCACGTGGACATTTGTGCCAAAACTACTGTACATCAAGGCCTTCTTGAGGTATTGCATTTCCACGAATGCGACGGACACAAGGTCACAGTGACCTTGACCTTTTGCCACTAAATTCTAATCAGATCAGTGTTTAAAGAAATTCCCACAAGGCATTCCAGAATTACATATATTAACAAGAATGGGACTTACGCAAAGACGGACAGGGAAATGGACAACTCGAAAACATTTTTTAACAAAGATTTTGTAATGAAAAGTGGCTTTATGAAACAAAAATGAAAAAAAGAGAAAAAAATTCAAATTAAAACTGCTAAAATTACAAAGAAATTACATATAATGAAGTCATATTGTGAAAAGGAAAGAGGAAGAATTTCGTAGTATTGAGCTGGGTTTTGAGTGGATTATCTTCAAAGATTGCAATATATCATAATTATAGGAGTATTACTGGACGCAGAGCTCTTACTGCTGACACGTCCACCTTGAGAAAGATTTAGTTTACATAGCTCCATATCAACCAGAAGTCTCCACATTTAAGACTAAGATTTCCCTTTTTGGTAAAGCTTATAGTAAGGGCTGGCTCAGGCTTGCGTTGGACCAGCCCCTAGTTAGGCTGATATAGGCCTGGTCCACCAGGGGACAACCTATGATACACTAAGCCCCTGTGTCTCTCTCTCTCTCTCTCTCTCTCTCTCTCTCTCTCTCTCTCTCTCTCTCTCTCTCTCTCTCTCCATTTATTCACATTCATGTCTCATTAGTGCATGACACTAACTCAGCTTCTTCCCTGAATTGTGATTTGTGATATTGGGCTATATCATGAAATTGAATTTAACCATCAGGTACACTGATGCTATCACATTTACAAATTTGTCTTCAGTGAACAACACATTCCACAGAGTAAAGACTGGTCTACACTGGGCTCTCAGAGCTGCCTGGCTAATGCTTACTCGTGTAGAAGAAGGCACGGTGAGGATTATGTCAAATATCACTCTCTGGAGCAACATCCGTAAAAACTGAACAACTGCCCATGTTATTCAGAAATGTCACCGCTTTCTCTGGCACTTGCATGTCTCTCTCTCCGGAAGACAAATGGTGCCCTTTAACTGAAATGTCTCCTATGGCTTTTTCACCTCCAGTCATGTGCCGGCCCTCACAGATTACCCAACACAGCGAAGAGAAAAGTACCGCACTGTTTGGTTATTGTCATGCAGAGGAGCAAGGTGTTAATAGAAGAAAGAAAAAATGTGGCAGAGGTTTTTTTTTTTTTTTCAAGCCACAGATGAACAAATTTCCACTGTCATAACAACATGGGTTAGTGCTCATGCTTCACCGAGCAATGGAAGAGGAAAAAAGGAAATGTAGACAGGGAAGAGAGGGGCATGATCTTTTTAAAATTTAAATTCATCAGAGGAGGCGAAATAACATGCAGAGCTGAATTGAGATCACATTTGACAGGTGAGTAAAGGATTACTGGGACCTCCTTCCTGTTTAGAGGTGCCGTCTCACCTCAGACGAGATCCTCTGATTTACATGACTCCAAAGAGGAAAGAGGTTGATACAAAAATGAATAGCTGAGAGAAGTGCACTTAGAAGCACTTTAAGGGGAGTAAAAAAGAGAGAAGGAGGAAGGGGAGTCAAAAGAAACTGGCTAAAAAAAAAGAGGTCTGCAGGTTTGCTGTCATGCACGAGTGTCAGGCTTTTATTTTGTTGGTCAAAAAGGGGGAAAAAAGATAGAAAAATACCTTCATCACCGCCACCATCATTACTGTTGAAATCTGCGCCTTGTCTGTTTGAGTTGGCCCCTAGTGTTGAGGAGAAAAGTAGAATAAGGGGAAACATTTAAGATGAAAAAAAAAAGAAAAACTTTTTCAGTCGAAAAAAAGAAGAAGAAAAAAACCTCACTTTAAAATGCATCAAAAACGTCGGGGTGCTGTTTGAGAAAAACAAGTGAGCTGAACAGGCTGTGGTGTGATGAAGTGTCTTTGACTAACAAGGAGCACAACAGCAGCCTGGCAGGACCAAAACAACACTTTGTGACCAAACACTTCCATCAGCTGAGACGAATCTGTCACACTGGTGTGATACACACTCATTAACTGAACAGTCAGCGTGCGTCATCAAAGCAGGCACATCACTCAGACATGGAGGGCCAGTGTTGGATTCACCACTTAGTCACATTTTGACGATCACTCGCAGAACGGGTCCTCGGTTGAAAGAAATTCAAAATAAAGGGCTGCATGTTATCAAGTCAGAACATATGAACAATACATGAGGAGCTGCTGGGCTGTTCTCTTGCACTGCTCATAAGTTTTCCTACCAAATTTCATTCATATCCTACATGATAATGACCAAGTAATTTGCGTATAACCCAACATATTTTGGAAGTGTTATAAAATATGTAATGTTCTGCTGGGAAACCTTGGGTCCTGGCATTCATCTGGATACTACCTTTCATGTTCCACCCACTCAAACACTGTCGCAGTCCAACTACCCCCTTCATGGCAACAGTACTCCCCAATGGCAGTGGCCCCCAGGAAGACAATGCACCATGCCACATCACAAAAACTGTTCAGGCATGACCTGAGGAATGGGACGAAGAACTCAAGGTGTCGACCTGACCTCCAAATACCCCAGATCCCAACCTGATCGAACATCTGAGGGTCGTGCTGGTACCCCAGAGGTACCCCTGATCCACGGTGGGTGCTCCTTGGACCGGACTTGCCTCTGACCTGTCAAGGCATGGACACAGGACCTCTAGAGGGTGTCCTTTGGTTTCTGGCTCCAGGGCGTTAGCTTCAGATCTTTTGAGTCCTGTGGGTTGTGAGGTGGGGTAACAGCACGTCCCGCAGATCTTTGATCAGATGGGGATATGGGGAATTTGGAGGTCAGGTCGACACCTTCATCTCTTTGTCCCATTCCTCTGGTCATTCCTGAGTCATTCTCGGAACGCATCGGCTGTATTCAGCGTCTGACTTCTGGCAGATGGCGATACAGCCTCTGGGGGCAGACCCCCGATTTTTTGGCATTCCGGTTTGATTTGGGCGGAGGAGGTGAATTTCCTTTTCTGACTTCCGTTTATATATAAGTAAATATGCTGAACCATTACGATGGATTCAGAGTTTGCAGTGACACCAATTATGTTCCGCCTCGTTAGTTCACCGCACGGACCGTTTAACCTGGCAACAACTGCAGCCGGCTCAAACGGATTGGTCAATATCACGCGGACTACAAACAGCCTACAACCGGAAACCAGGGCTCTTTCACTCTTCTTCCGGAGGCAAGATCTCCGGGGTTTGCCTACAGACTCTACATTCACTGAATGTAGAGTCTGTATATAGAGACTATTCCTGAGTAGACTGTAAAAATAATGGACGTAGCTACTATGACATCACCCATTTGTGGACTGCCGTTTTGAGGCCTTGAGTTTGGCACTTTAGCCATCGCCATCTTCTTTTTTGGAGCCAGAAGTAACTATTTGGACGAGAGGCTGGAAATGTGGAAAGTCAAGGGGTGGATATGACTCGTAGACTGTAGCGACACCTCACAGACAGCCTGTAACTCAAGTGGCTCCGCCCTTAAATAGCCTCACTTTTAAGCCTTAATTAAATGTAAACAGGTGAGTTACATAAAAATTCACCCCCTGTACAGCTGTCATGGATGTTGAAATTAGCCACAGAGACCAAAACCATGTTTTGTACCAAGTTGTTAACATGTTTATTTCTGGTTTTAACGTGAAGGTCTGTGGGGATGACTCTGTTTTGGAGTCAGCCTCAAGTGACCATTAGAGGAACTGCAATTTTGGCACTCATGCATAGGCTTCATTTTCGGCCTCAGAGTTTGCTGCTTTTTTGTTTTTAAACAGTGCTGTTTTAATAAATGTCATTATTATTTTCAAAGCCAGGAGCTAGCTTAACTTAGCATAAAGACCACAATCAGAGGAACCCAGCTATCTTGGCACTGTCCAGAGAAAACTTAATCTGCAAACTAGTTTTCAAACATATCAAAACAGAAGGGAAAAAAAAGCAGGACATGTAAAACTCCCTGTAATAAAAACTTTGAAATGCAGTTAGTTAGGCAACAGTTGCACATTGTCATCATAACAGGGACGGTCAGAGCAGCAACGGGAAGATTTGACACAAGAAATGCTGATATACAGTACAGGCCAAAAGTTTGGACACACCTTCTCATTCAATGCGTTTTCTTTATTTTCATGACTATTTACATTGTAGATTCTCACTGAAGGCATCAAAACTATGAATGAACACATGTGGAGTTATGTACTTAACAAAAAAAGGTGAAATAACTGAAAACATGTTTTATATTCTAGTTTCTTCAAAATAGCCACCCTTTGCTCTGATTACTGCTTTGCACACTCTTGGCATTCTCTCCATGAGCTTCAAGAGGTAGTCACCTGAAATGGTTTCCACTTCACAGGTGTGCCTTATCAGGGTTAATTAGTGGAATTTCTTGCTTTATCAATGGGGTTGGGACCATCAGTTGTGTTGTGCAGAAGTCAGGTTAATACACAGCCGACAGCCCTATTGGACAACTGTTAAAATTCATATTATGGCAAGAACCAATCAGCTAACTAAAGAAAAACGAGTGGCCATCATTACTTTAAGAAATGAAGGTCAGTCAGTCCGGAAAATTGCAAAAACTTTAAATGTGTCCCCAAGTGGAGTCGCAAAAACCATCAAGCGCTACAACGAAACTGGCACACATGAGGACCGACCCAGGAAAGGAAGACCAAGAGTCACCTCTGCTTCTGAGGATAAGTTCATCCGAGTCACCAGCCTCAGAAATCGCAAGTTAACAGCAGCTCAGATCAGAGACCAGATGAATGCCACACAGAGTTCTAGCAGCAGACCCATCTCTAGAACAACTGTTAAGAGGAGACTGCGCCAATCAGGCCTTCATGGTCAAATAGCTGCTAGGAAACCACTGCTAAGGAGAGGCAACAAGCAGAAGAGATTTGTTTGGACCAAGAAACACAAGGAATGGACATTAGACCATGGCCTGTACTGTATATCTTAACCTTCAACACAGTCTCACAGGGTGAATCTGAGCCTGCCAACGAAACCAACAGCAGACTCAACACTTAACACTGCTTATTGCTACCTGCACAGTAGAAGGGTAGAGCCCACTGTCAGACATTTGGCCCTGGCAAGGATCCAACCTAGAACAAATTGTTTGTGTGAAAGCATCTGTGGTCTAGGATCAGAGTGGAGGTACAACTTTTTGCACTGACTTTGCTGTACAAGGGCAGAAAGTCTGAAATGCAGCAGTCCAACCTAAACCTAAAGAGATATTTTTGATATTTATCATGTGGTGCGAGTTACTGCAGTGATGGACATACAGGTCCTGTAACTGGACATCTCTCAGCCAGCTGGTGACTTGCCAAATAAAGATGAACAGCAGCACACACGCTGAGCTAAAAGCAACATTTGAGGCACAATAGCTCTCAAAAACACCTGTTTAGTTGTCGTTCATTTTGACTGACAGGTTACTGCTCATTCAGTCTCCGTCTTGTCTGACCTGTTGGACAGGAGTGGGCGGCAGCAGGCGGTGGTGTTAGCTGATAACCCGTACGTGTATTTCTTTTAAAAGGCAGTTTGACATGAGATCTGACTCTACTTTGTCCCTTCAGAAAAGCAGCTCTGCTGTTGCAGGTGGTTCAAAGTCTTTCATGTTGAGTTGTGTTGTTAACTGTGGCTTTTAGCTCAGTGTGTGCGCTGTAGTTTGGAAAGAGAGCAGCTACTGGGAGATCTCCAATTACAGGATTCACAGCCTCAGCTACAGGCGCGTCCATAAGTGTCTTCATCCTCTTTGTCACCCTAATTTACTACAACCCGTGGTCTGTACTGTCAACTTTAAAATTAAAGGCAACTAAATTGACAAAACATGCAAAACATTATGATGTCACGGTGAAGCTGGCCTTTGACCTTTTGAATATATGATGTCATCACTTCATCATTTTTGCCCCATTAGACATTTTTGTGAAAATGTGGTCATAATTAGCACAGGAATTCTCATATACATGTTTTGTGAGGTCACAATGACCTTGACCTTTGACCACCAAAATCTAATCAAGTCATCGTTGAGTCCAAGTGAACGTTTGAGCCAAATTTGAAGAAATTCCCTCAAGGTGTTTTTTAGCTATTGCCTTCACAAAAATGACATGGACACAAGGTCACAATGACCTTTTGACCTTTAACCAACCAATATCTAATCAGTACATTATTGAGTCCAAGTGGATGTTTGAGCCAAATTTGAAAACATTTCCTCAAGGTGTTTTTAAGCTATTGCATTCAGGAGAATGACATAGACACAAGGTCACAGTGACCCTTGACCTTTGACCACCAAAATCTAATCAGTTCATCGTTGAGTCCAAGTGGACGTTTGAGCTAAATTTGAAAACATTTCCTCAAGGTGTTTTGAAGCTATTGCCTTCACGAGATTGACATAGACACAAGGTCACAGTGGCCTTTTGACCTTTAACCAACCAATATCTAATTAGTTAATCGTTGAGTCCAAGTGGACGTTTGAGCCAAATTTGAAGAAATTTCCTCAAGGTGTTTTTAAGCTATTGCATTCACGAGAATGACATGGACACAAGGTCACAGTGACCTTTGACCTTTAAGCAACCAATATCTAATCAGTACATTATTGAGTCCAAGTGTAAGTTTGAGCCAAATTCGAAGAAATTTCCTCAAGGTGATCTTGAGCTATCACGTTCACAAGAATGGGATGAACGGAGTATAGAGGCCAGTATGGAGGCAGAACATGCATTGTGGGGTCACAG